AAATGAGTCGTTTCTGAACTCTGTTTATTCCTGATTCTGAGCTTGGACCTGTTTTAATCTGTGACTATTCTATTGTTAGAAAACGAACACTAAGCTTTTTGTTATTTTTTTTTCCTCTCAAAGGCTCCTTTACCGTGCGGTGGACGCCAACGCCATAAACCGAGGCCCTATTTACAACTACAGAGTGGAGATCTCCATCTTTTTCATTATTTACATCATCATCATTGCTTTCTTCATGATGAACATATTTGTGGGTTTCGTCATCATCACTTTTCGAGAGCAAGGAGAAGCCGAGTTCAAAAACTGTGAACTGAACAAGAATCAGGTCAGCAGTTTTGAAAATGTTGAAGTCGTTTTAGTTTCAGCTTTGATAAACAACTGAACGCCGTTTCCTGTTTCACCCCGACCCCAGAGGCAGTGTGTGTATTACACACTGAAAGCTCAGCCTATAAAGATTTACATCCCAAAAAATCCATCCCAGCTGAAATTCTGGAAAATCATCAACTCCAGCCAGTTTGAATACATCATGTTTGTGCTGATTTTGGGGAACACCCTCACTCTGGCTGTTCAGGTAACTCCCTTCTCCTGAATCTCCCGGAAAATACTGAAAACAGTTTCAGTATTTTGATGTTGGATTTATAATTTTTTCCCCCTTTCTCAGCATTATGAGCAGTCGAAATTATTCACCTCCATCATGGACATCCTCAACATGATCTTCACCGTGGTTTTCACAATAGAGATGATCATCAAGCTGATGGCTCTGCGGGCTCATGTGAGTGTTTCTTTAAACACTGAGCTTCCTGAACGCAGCTCCACCACCTTTTTCAGTCTTTATTCTTACCTTTTCCCTGCAGCATTATTTCATCGATCCCTGGAATTCATTCGATGCACTAATCGTTGTGGGCAGCGTCTTGGACATCATAGTGTCTGAATTTAGTGTAAGGTTTAATTTACCTTTTATTTTAGAAGAAATACTTTAAAAATGTTTCAGTGTGATATACACTCACCGGCCACTTTATTAGGTACCCCATGCTAGTAACGGGTTGGACCCCCTTTTGCCTTCAGAACTGCCTCAATTCTTCGTGGCATAGATTCAACAAGGTGCTGGAAGCATTCCTCAGGGAGTTTGGTCCATATTGACATGATGGCATCACACAGTTGCCGCAGATTTGTCGGCTGCACATCCATGATGCGAATCTCCCGTTCCACCACATCCCAAAGATGCTCTATTGGATTGAGATCTGGTGACTGTGGAGGCCATTTGAGTACAGTGAACTCATTATCATGTTCAAGAAACCAGTCTGAGATGATTCCAGCTTTATGACATGGCACATTATCCTGCTGAAAGTAGCCATCAGAAGTTGGGTACATTGTGGTCATAAAGGGATGGACATGGTCAGCAACAATACTCAGGTAGGCTGTGGCGTTGCAACGATGCTCAATTGGTACCAAGGGGCCCAAAGAGTGCCAAGAAAATATTCCCCACACCATGACACCACCACCACCAGCCTGAACCGTTGATACCAGGCTGGATGGATCCATGCTTTCATGTTGTAGACGCCAAATTCTGACCCTACCATCCGAATGTCGCAGCAGAAATCGAGACTCATCAGACCAGGCAACGTTTTTCCAATCTTCTATTGTCCAATTTCGATGAGCTTGTGCAAATTGTAGCCTCAGTTTCCTGTTCTTAGCTGAAAGGAGTGGCACCCGGTGTGGTCTTCTGCTGCTGTAGCCCATCTGCATCAAAGTTCGACGTACTGTGCGTTCAGAGATGCTCTTCTGCCCACCTTGGTTGTAACGGGTGGTTATTTGAGTCACTGTTGCCCTTCTATCAGCTCGAACCAGTCTGGCCATTCTCCTCTGACCTCTGGCATCAACAAGGCATTTCCGCCCACAGAACTGCCGCTCACTGGATGTTTTTTCTTTTTCGGACCATTCTCTGTAAACCCTAGAGATGGTTGTGCGTGAAAATCCCAGTAGATCAGCAGTTTCTGAAATACTCAGACCAGCCCTTCTGCACCAACAATCATGCCACATTCAAAGTCACTCAAATCATCTTTCTTCCCCATACTGATGCTCGGTTTGAACTGCAGGAGATTGTCTTGACCATGTCTACATGCCTAAATGCACTGAGTTGCCGCCATGTGATTGGCTGCTTAGAAATTAAGTGTTAACGAGCAGTTGGACAGGTGTACCTAATAAAGTGGCCGGTGAGTGTAACTGTCAGTTACGCTCCTCTTTCTTTTGTCTCTTTCCTTCCACTCAACTTTCCTTTAATATACTTTATAATATGGCTTTCTGTGAACAGCAGCTGCCTCATTAATGAAGGCCTTCTCTGTTACGCTCACAGCGTAACACATATGGAAGACCAACTCTGCCATATTTAAAAATAAATACAGAAATAAATAAATACTCAATAAATAAATAAGCATACAATTATTGCCACCAAAAATACAATAAACAAATAAATGTAAGTAGAAATTAAATTATAAAGTGAGACATAAATGTATATAACTCTTTTAATTATTTCTTTATTTATTTGCCTTTGTAATATTTACCTTATTTATTTTTTGGTCCTTTATAATCCTCAACTTTATTTTTTAATTACTTATATTTTTTAGTATTTATTTTTGTGCATGTTATAGTATTTTATTTGTTGTTTTATTCTTCCTTTGTATTTTTTTACCCTAGTTATTTCTTCGCCGCTATTTATTTCTGCCGGCCCTTTTCTGCCTGTCCATAGGGACTATGTTGATCTAAATATTGTTCTGAATAAACTACAAAAATATGGCACGTATTTTATTCTGTTTCCTCATAAAAGTATATATAAACAAAAACTTGATATTTATGTAATTATAAACTATTTAAATGGAACAGTTTGCAATAAAACATAAATAAATAATGGTTTACTCTTAATGCTGATATGCTGATTGGATAATTTATGTTATTATTACCATACCATCATGACTGCCTAACAGTAGCAGCTTACAGAAGCACATTAAAGATTAAGTAAATGTTTGAAAATAAAGTGGAAATTTGTTAATAATAAACAACTAATAGAGTTATTACCATGTACTTATTTTTCTGTAAACAGGTGCTTACAACATAGGGATTATTTAACAGTATTGGGTCATTATAGCTGTTTAAAAATAAATATAATACAAGAAACATTTTTTCAAATTTGTTTTGCACACATTTGTAGAAGGAAATTTATGTTGAAAGATTTAATTTTTGTTGTGTTATTGATTATTTGCTGCCTGATCGGATTATCCAGGGAGGAGGCGGCCATGGAGAGGTGAGAGATAAACATCTGTGTTTTTTTTTTGGTGGTCGTACTTCATTTTTTTGGGGTTTAAAAAAAAAAAGCGTTTAGGTTTTATGCTGACTCCAATATGTCTTGTTTTCTTTCAGGGTGGTGGGAAAGGAGAACATGGAAAAGTGTCCATTACGTTCTTCCGCTTGTTCCGAGTGTTGAGGTTGGTTAAGCTGCTCAGCAAAGGAGAAGGAATTCGAACTCTTCTCTGGACTTTTGTCAAATCCCTGCAGGTCAGTGATTCCTCAGGAGGACGAGTAGATTAAATCTCGCTGTCACTGCACTTATCTCCATCTTTTCGTACGTATTCTGTGTTTCATTCTTACCTCCTCAGGCCTTGCCTTACGTTGGCCTCCTCATCGCTATGATCTTCTTCATCTACGCTGTGATCGGCATGCAGGTGAGTCTCACTAAACAGCAGGTAAAAAAGGGTTAAAAAAAAACGCAGCCGATTTCTGATTGGCTTCCACTGTGTCATTTATCTTCCAGATGTTTGGTAAAATCGCCGTCGATGACGACACAGACATCAACAGAAACTGCAACTTCCAGACGTTCTTTATGGCGGTTCTAGTCCTTTTTAGGTATGTAATTTGATCCTGCTTATTCTAACAGCATTCTTCTAATCACCCCCAACACTTTTATCTTATTTGTTTGGGGCCTAGAGCGACTTCAGTCCTTCAATGACCCCATGCTGCAACGTTTTGCTGCAGCACTGCTGCAAAGCAGCTCATTCAAATTAATCTTTAACAACTCGATCCCTGGGATGCCAGAACAACCTGCTGGCATCCCTGAGAGGTAATTCAGCCTTTTAATGAAGGAGTGCAAAAGCAGGGATGCAAAAGCAGGACTGGGGCGGCTGGACCCCTGCTATAGAACTTCACTACAATTTTATTCGGGACAAAATCATTTAAATAACACACTGCAAGGCATCACACAAAGTAGAACATAACTGAAATATAACAAGTACATCAATGTTTTTTAGATTAGATTTCAAATAAAAAAACTGAAAAGTGTGGCCTGCATATATTTAAAAAACCCTTGAATCAAAAAACACTAAATAGAAATTAGGGAACCACCAGTATATAGTATGATTTAAGTTTAAATACATTTGTTCTGATTTTAAACATAAATCAGCATTAGAACAGTTGAACGTTTTGTAATCTAAGCCCAGACCTAAATAGAATAGAGCATTTGGACCAAAATCTTAAAAGGAATTTCCCTAGAAGCTCCTCATCCTATCGGAGTGAGCTTACCCTATTTTTCTGAGATGACTCCTCTACATTTCAAATTTCATTTCATTTCATTTTTTTCCATTTATTGTTTATTTGAAAGGGGACAGCGTACATTAATCAACATTAAAACAATGTAAATATACCCGAGTTAGCTAAGGAGTGCTAATTTTCATCGGTAGTCCCCCAGCCAGATATTAAAGATGCAACCTTAAAAATAAACACAAGTATAAAATCACAAGATTAAATTACAATACCAATTACATAAAAAACATTATGGTTAAGAAATAAAATTCATGTAAAATGATTAAAAATTAATTGTAAAATTATTTAAATACACACAGAAAACCTTAGTGCCCACAAATTTGGCTCTCTACAAGCCATTTTTTTGCATTCTTTTTGAATGAAGAGAATGACAAAGAGTCTCTGATGGTTTCTGGCACTGTGTTCCATTGCTGAGATGCTCTTACGGAGAAGACAGCCTGACCAAAGGCTGTTTTTCTCCGGGGGATGATGCAGTCTTCCCTCACTGCCCCTCTGGTTACCCTGATCTCACTGGATCTGAACTGTACAAAGTCACATAGTGGTGCTAAACCATGTCTGATTTTATAAATTAAACAGCTGTTTTTGAACTTGATAAGATTGTTCCAGGTAAGTAACTGATATTTCCTCAGAATACTACAGTGGTGGTAATGGTATGGTTTTTTATCCAGTATTTTTAATGCTTGTTTATATAATGTTTCTAATGGTTTTATTGTAGTAGAGTGAGTATTGGACCAACTGATTAGACAATATGTTATTAGACAATATTTCCATTCTGGTGGATTCTAAAAGACTTGGAGCTGTTTAACAATGCAAAACTTTGTGCACTTGGATAGCTAATAATAACAAACTTTTAATAATTTTAGCATTATACCAGTTTTGGAAATCATGTTTGTTTGTTGCACTTAAAAATTAAAGAAGTGTTTTGTTGGTCTGTCACTCAAAATCTCAATAAAATGCATTTTAGTTTTAATGTGATATAATTAGAAAAACTTTTAAGGAGTATCAAAACTTTTGCAAGTAAAGTTAAGCAGACTTGGTCTATCTTGTACAGAGGTGTCAAAAGTATTAATGTTTATATACTCCAGTAGAAGTATAAATCCTACTGTTTAAAAACACTTTTGTAAAAGTTGGAGTATTAACTTAAGCTTTTTACTCAAACGTGTAAATTACCACTTTTAAAACTACATAAAATATAAAAGTCAATGTAACACAGGAAAAAATGTTAAGGACAGATGTTTCACTGTACTAGCTTATTAAAGGAACATTTTTTTCTAACATTTTGGATAATAATTTCCTTATATTTAATTTTCTTAGTTTTATAACTAATGGTAACAGTGTGAAATTTAACTTTGAAGCATCTTAAAAAAAACTGTGTATTTTTGGTTTATGGCGAACAAAAAGTTGGTGCAGCACAGAGTCCAACAAAAATTTATTGTCTGAATAAGACAAATTATTATTATTTTTTTTATATACTGAAAATGAGCTTAAATGAACAAACTAATGAGTCTATTATAGTAGAAAGTAGAGATAATTGCAAAAAAAAATGTAAGGACTAGAAGTAAAACGTTGTCTAAAAAATAATTATTCCAGTAAAGTATATAGGGCCAAAATTTCTACTGAAAGGTATAGTGGAGGATTTTTGCGAATATTTGAAAAAGCCCGCCCTCTCCACTTAAAAGAAAAATGCACATGCACCACCCTGTACCCACTTCCAAGAGGAAACACCTAATAAAAGCATGGCAGAGCATGCACAAGCCCATTTCTCATCGAGGACGCAATTAAAAGAGGCTTGGATGGATCTCATCTCACCCATATTTATATATAAAAAAATTTCACTGCAAATACGACTACTGGTACATTAAAAAATCATGACCTGCTTGTATGTGTGTGTGCTGCAGTGGAAATTTGTGGGGCAAATAAGGATCTGTGGCTACAGTATCTACAGTAAATCGTTAGTAACTACTAACGATACAAATTACAAAATAAATGAACTTATTTTCCCTGGAAAGTTGCAATATAGCGGTAGATAACTTTTACGAGCAGTGATCTAAAAAGGATTTCTCCACTTTACCTGTCAAGTAGAAATTTTGCAACCGAGGCGTCAGTGGGAAGCCCGACCTGTGCTTTCAATTGTCACGTCGCACTTATCGGAACTGAATAAAATGGGAGATAGATGAGCGGATTCAAACAATTTATTTTCTCCCAATTATGCTATTGAAGAATTGCTCAGCCATTCAAAGAGAAGTGTAGATTAATGCTGCCTGTTTAATGCAAGCAGGGCCAGTGACTGACTGGATGTCAGTATTTAAAGGAATAGTACACCCAAAACATGATTAGCCTTCATTTTCTACTCACCCCCATGCTGAACAACACTCTGGAGTACTTTTTTGATATCTCAAATGCATCTGGAGATCTGGGAGGCTTCTTGCTCTCTGCTGACATTCAAATAATGGAGGTCTATGGTGCCCGAGACAGAAAGGTCCATAAAAGTCCACAAAAAACGTGTCAATATTCCTCCATACTGCTCGTCCAATGTATTCCAAGTGTCCTGAGTGGGTAGCATCCAGAATTTACTCGAAACTAAGTCATTTAGAATGTTTTTAGAGCATAAACAGTAGTGTATAGGATTTCCTGAAAGCGCGCACATGCGCGCTCACGACGCTACGGAAGCCGGCAGACCAAACCAGCGCATTCAGCTCGGCAAAGAACTCATGCTCTTCCTCAACACTGAAGTCCTCAGACATTTTTCTTTCGTTGTTTCTTTCTTTGCACAGGTAAACAGCACATTTCTTCTTCTACGCTTGCATTATTGGAAGAGCAGACGCTGAATGCGCACTTTCATCTGGCTTGGTCTGCCGGTTTCCGTAGCGTCGTGATCGCGCAGGCGCGCGCTTTCAGGAAATCCTATACACTACTGTTTATGCTCTAAAAACATTCTAAATGACTTCGTTTCTAATATTGACACGTTTTTTGTGGACTTTTATGGACCTTTCTGTCTCGGGCGCCATAGACCTCCATTATTTGAATGTCAGCAGACAGCAAGAAGCCTCCCAGATCTCCAGATGCATTTGAGATATCAAAAAAGTACTCCAGAGTGTTGTTCAGCATGGGGGTGAGTAGAAAATGAAGGCTAATCATGTTTTGGGTGTACTATTCCTTTAACAGCCATCAGGTGCTTTCAATTAGCAGCCCCTCAACCTGCTTCCTGAAAAGAACAAAAATCAAACAGTGAAATGGCGACACCTACTGGACAGTAGGGGATCGTCACACAATGTACGCTATTGCATGAAAGAATCTCTCTGAAACACATTGGTACTGTTTCTCTCTTCTTAGGCTCTTTTTGTTCTTCTCATACACTTCATAGAAACTTTTTCTGTTACGATTCTTGGCCATTTTCAAAGAACTGTGGTGAGAAAGGCGAGCTTCAATGACTGAAACTGTAGCTTGCTACATAAAAGTGTGCATACGCAGAAAAAGACCGTTACCTGGGGACGAGCATGTAGGACAGCCCGACGTAAACATATTACCAGAATGATTGACAATTAGGAGGACCACTTATTTAGATGATCCACCTGGAAAAAGAAAATCCTCCACTATAACTTTAAGTAAGCTAATGAAGTATTTGTACTTTACTTAACACCTCTGGTCTTATAGGTGTGCTACTGGAGAGCAGTGGCAGCAGATCATGCTGGGCGCCCTGCCCGGCAGACGATGTGACCCAGAGGCTGACGTTGAGCCCGGAGAAGAGTTCACCTGCGGCAGTAACCTGGCCTACCTTTACTTCATCAGCTTCTTCATGCTCTGCGCCTACTTGGTGAGCTAAGCTACAGCCAATTAACGCTGATCTAAGTTTTTTTTTTTTTTTTCGCTTCGCTCACAGATACTCCTCAGATTACTGCCTCTAAATTTAGCTGTAATTAATTCAAACCTGTGCTCTGACTGCCAGGTCAAGTGGAATCAAAGTCGGATGAAAACAGCCGTATTTCAGCGGCAGAACACTGACAGTTTTAATCATGCACAGATGGATGGTGATGCACGCCTGAATCACAAAGATTTAATGGGATACATATACTTTACTTACAGCACCTAATGTGGCTTCTGTGCTATTTTAAGATGGTCTGTCAGTGAAATGGTGACTCAGACTGTTATAAACTCCCCCTCTCCCTTTGTTTGGGACATAATCTCAGTTAATCTGTTATATAAATTTCCTTTACATAAACACACCATTGTCCAGATTTTCAGAGTCATGTGACTAATACCAGGCTTCTATTGATTTGCTAGAGTATATTTGTTTCATAAACCTTTTAAGGCTTTTAAGGACAAGATTTTCTGTGTGCATCCTTCAATTTATTTAAAATTTCCTCTAACTCCACATATTCACGTCTCTTAAAAAAGTTAAGCCGAAAACTTTTAAATTTGTCATCTGTTTAATGAAATGCTCTCTAAACTTCTGCTTAATTTAATCATAACTGATTATCAGCGGGAAAATAAATGTCTGATAGTCCAGATTGGATTTGCTAATCCTGCTAATCCAGACTAAGGGTTGAAAAAGACCCAAACTGTTTCCGTCAGATTAATATATTGCTCAGGATGTTAAAGAACATCACAGCCTC